AGTTGGCAGAGGTGGTGTCAACTTCTGGGGAGAGGTTCTGGAAGTGGTGACTTGATGACAACAAGGTAGATCAACTCTTGGTTACTTTCAAAGGTGAAAGTCAAAGACCACTCATCTTCCATTTTGGGCCTTGAGTATGTCCACTGAAATGAGCTGGGTTTGGGCTCACCTTGTACAAGTCCCCAAAGTAAAGTGCCTGGTGCTGGAGCAATGATCTCTTTCTGTACTGTTTGCGGCTACAGAGAGAAGGGTAGTTTCAAAGTGGCTTTCACTGGCTGAAATGGCAATGTGGGTGCAGGCAGTTGCTGTTGGCCTTTCTTTCCCTGCGTATCAGGGACTTCCCCTTTATCTGGTGGCTAGATTGCTTCCCCTCCTTCAGCCCTTGATGCCAATCACTGATGGGGTGAGGGGGAATCAGTTCTACAGAGTTTCTGTTGGTCATTTCAATCCTAGATTCCAGGTTGAAGCTGCAGTGTATTGAAAAATTCCTTCTCTGGGGAGAGGACTGAAGGGATGAGAGCACTGAGACTTCAGTCAAGAGTGGCTATCACTGGCTTCTCCACTGGGATGTTTACAAGTTACTGGCCATGTTTTTCAGGGGTCTGGTCAGCCTCTGTGCTGTTTATGCTATGGTTGGTACTGGAAGATGTACCCCATGTACATGAAGAAGGCAGGAAACATGGTATTAGGTTTGGTACTTTGGAGTTGCTCTAACTGCTTCAGGGCATCTTGTTTTAAATATGATTGTCAAATAGAGAATTAGGTTTTGTGGTATAAAAGAGGAAACACATAGCAGAATCCCTTCCAATATTTCCAGACTTCTTTGACCATTATGTCCTTACCGTTTATTGGATAAAAAGTGTTGTCCTGGATAATTACTGTGACTAATCTCTAAGTGTAGTAGACTAAGAGACAACCTTCGTGCTAGTAGCTAGAAATTTTTTTTTTATTTGTGAATAATAGATTCTTAGAAGAACAACATGTGAAATTTCTCAAAGTCCTATCTGGGCATCTTATAAATACAGTCAAAACTCATAAATATGGTGTGCTGGAGAGAGACAGTGAAATTACTGAGTGAATTAATGGTTGGCACTTTCTGAAAGGTACCATAATAACTCTCTGACTATAGATTCTTTGAAAAAGAGGTCTATAAGAAGGAAAACTAATTAGTGATGAATCCCAACCATGGTCATTAAATGATGCTATCATGGAAATGTTGACGAAGAGACTTTCAGGAAAACTACATACTTATCTAAGATTTGCAAGGAAATGTTGATAGTGAGTAACAAAATGTCCCCCATCACAATATTGGGTCTCTAAGCAACTAGGATGTAATTCAAGCCAGATTGCAATCCATGTTATTTCTCCTGGGCAGCAAGCCAAGAACAAAGAACTAGAAAAGATATTGATTATGTATATTAGTTGTAGTCTGATCTCTCTTGAAAGGAACCCTGACTCTGACTTTTAATATGAGCTTACTTTAGTTCAGCATTGAATCAAAATTGTGCTCATTGGACTAAGGTGGAAAAGTGTAATGTTAGAGTTTAGCTATGATATTTTGCTTTCCCTGGAACAAATTAAAGAAATGAAATCTAATTCTCCCTATGTATCTGTGTGCCCTTATTTTAAGACCAACACTTCTTGGAATAGTGCAGGCTATGGGAATTCACAAAGACATTAGACAAAATCAGATGAGGTTAAAAAATATATAGATGAACTTTCAGGGGTGGAGCCAAGATGGTGAAGTAGAGAAAGTGCTCAGCTAAGCTCTCCCAATATTCGCCTCCAAGTGACTTTAAAATAACACCTCACATCAAATTCTAGAGTGACAAAGCCAAAAAAAAAAAAAAAAAGGTCAATGAGACATTCTTCCAGCTCAAGACAACATAGAGGTCAGAAAGAGAGATCTGTGATATGGGGGAGGAGGCTGACCCAGAGCCCACATGGATGAAACACCAGTGGTGGGATTAGATAATGGTGACAGAAGCAGCAGTTTTGGGAGTTCTCATGCCAGAGACATTAAGGGGCCCTGACAGCTGGTCAGAAAGGGATTGCAGGGGATTGCAATGTGCTAGCACTGAACACAGGACCAGGTGACTTGGCACCTTCATTTCCTATACCCACTTCTGGGTCATAGCTGAAGGGCAAGAAGGAAAACTTTTAGTCAAGAGGGAATGGAAGCCCTGAGAAACAGTATCACTTCTGGCCCTATGGGATCAAGACCCTGAGGAAAAGTATTGTTTCCAGACTCAAGGGAACAGGGGCCCTCCAGAGTAGTATTGATTACAATCAATACTAAACATAAAAAATAGGGAACCTTTCCTAGGTAAGGACCAGAGTACAGACCAGGAAAACAGTGATCACACCTCTCCCCACATTATGCCACCTTGGAAGCACTGAAAAGTTCTAAACCCCCAGAATTATGATTATGTTGGGAAGATGTAAAAAAAAAAAACTGGATAGATAAGAAAGAGGATGCCTTGGGAGAAAAAGAAAGGAAGAGACAGAGTGGAGGAAATTATTTCACATAAAATAGACATGTAAGGAAGAGCTTTTTTGGTGGAGGGGGTAAAAGGTGTGGGGGGGGCAGATAACTCTTGAACCTCATATCTAAATTGATTCAAAGAGGGAAAATATGTATACATACTCAACTGGTAATAGAAATATATCTTACCCAACAGGGAAGTAGGAGGGCAGGGGAGCAAGAGAAAGGACATGGTTGATAAAAGGGAGGGGAGTTAAAGAAAGCAGTAGTCAGAAGCAAAACAGACTTGAGAGGAGGGCAGAATAAAAAGGGGAGAAGAAACTGAAGAAAACAGGATGAAGGGAAATGTATAGTAAGTAATCATAACTGTGAATATCAATGAAATGAACTGATTAGAAACCAGAATCCAACAGCATGTTGTTTATAAGAAATATACTTGAAACAGAGAGATACACATAGACCTAAAATAAGGAACTGGAGCAGAACCTCTTATGCATCAACTAAAGTAAAAAAGACAGGAATAGCAGTCATGATCTCAGACAAAGCAAAAGCAAAAATAAAAGGGATAAACAAGGAAATATATGCACCAAATGGCATAGCCTCCAAATTCTTAAAGGAAAAGTTAAATGAGGAAATAGACAGTAAAACTATACTAGTGGGGGACCTCCACCTTCCCCTATTAGAGCTAGATAAATCCAACCATAAAATAAATAAGAAAGGTGTCAAGGAAATGGATAGAATCTTAGAAAAGTTAGATATGATAGACCTCTGGAAAAAACTGAATGGGAACAGAAAGGAGTATACCTTTTTCTCAGCAGCACATGGCACCTTCACAAAAATTGATTATGTATTAGGACATGGAAAACTCACAAGTAAATACAGAAAAGCAAAAATATTAAATGCATCATTTTCAGATCACAATGCAATAAAAATTACATTTGGTAAACAGCTGTGGAAGCATAAACTAAAAATTAATTGTAAACTAAACCATCTAATCCTAAAGAATAAGTGGGTTGAAGAACAAATCATAGAAACAATCAATAATTTTATTAAAGAGAGTGAAAACATTAAGCAAATTAAAAAGAATTTTATTAAAGAGAATGACAACAATGAGACAACATTCCAAAATTCATGGGATGCAGCAAAAGCAGTATTTAGGGGAAAATTTACATCTCTAAGTGCATACATCAATAAAAGAGAAAGAGCGGAACAATAAATTGGATATACAATTAAAAAAAACTAAAAAAGGAACAAATTAAAAGTCCCCAGTTAAGTGCCAAAATGAAATTCCTGAAAATCAAGGGAGAGATTAATAAAATTGAAAGTAAGAAAACCATTGAATAATAGTAAATTATTATTTATAATAAAACTAGGAGCTGGTTTTATGAAAATACTAATAAAATAGTTAAACCTTTGGTTAATTTGATTAAAAAAAAAAAGAAAACCAAATTACCAGTATGAAAAGGGTGAATGCACCACCAATGAAGGTGAAATTAAAGTGATTATTAGGAGTTATTTTGCCTAATTACATTCCAGTAAAACTAACAATCTAAGTGAAATGGATGGGTATTTACAAAAATATAAATTGCCCAGATTAACAGAAGAGGAAATGGAATACTTACACAATCCTATCTTAGAAAAATAAATTGGCAAGCCATCAATGGACTGCCTAAGAAAAATCCACGGGACCAGGTGGATTTAAAAGTGAATTCTAGCAAACACTAAAGGAACAATTAATCCCAATACTATTTAAACTATTTAAAGAAATAGGCAAAGAAAGAATCCTACCAAATTCCTTTATGACACAAATGTGGTTTTGATACCTACATCCCCGGGGAGAGCAAAAACAGAGAAAGAAAATAATAGACCAATTTCCGTAATGAATATCAGTGTGGAAATTTTAAATAAATACTTGCAAGTAAATTACAACAATATATCGCCAGGGTCATACACTGTGACCAGGTAAGATTTATACTAGCAATGTAGGGTTGGTTCAATATTAGGAAAATTATCAGTATAATTGACCATATCGATAAGAATAACAACTGCCTATCCATATCCTTTGACCATTTATCAATTGGGGAATGACTTCAATTCTTATAATAAAAGTTGCTTTTCAAAAAATAACAGAATAATAATAACAGAATCTAGTACCTCCCTAGTCAATAATATTGAGAGACTAGAAAATATACAAATGAGCTTTTACCCTTTGGTCAAAAAGCAGAATTTCAAGGAAGCCCAGAAAATTTATTCAACTCTAAATCTGCCAGTTTTGACTCTCATAAACTTGCCTTAAATTAACCACTTATAGAACTGCCAAATCTTTTTGCTTGATATATGTCTTCTAATATTTGGTTAATAGCTCAAATTGGCTCTCCCTTTTTGTGAGCAGAAAGAGAGGAAGGGGATAATTCCAACACCAGTGGAAGGTCAATTGTAGCAAAATTTTAATTTGTCTTAAAATTAACAATTTAAAATTCTCATTTTGAAGCATTCAATTTTCCTATTTCATCAGCACTCTGGGGAATTCACCGTCTCTCTTAGTGATGTATTGGTGGCTTGGAAACACTTACTGCATGAGAAACTAGACTTGCCATTTGAAGATATGGAAGTGGTTGAACATTATAAAGACATCAGAAAGACCTATGATTCTTTTTTGAAGAACAGTAACATTCTTGACCTGATTGACGTGTACCAGAAGTGTCAAACATTGACTTCTACTTGTGAAAATAAAGTGATGTCTCCTGTAAGTATTTTTTAAATGTTATTTTACTTCATTAGGTTTAAACTACTTTAGTTTTTTTTAACAAAATGTGAGTTTTTATAAGCTTTTAAAAATACTTCTTTTACTTTGGAGAAGTATGTTAAAAGTATAAAATCTCTGAAAGCTGTTCTTCAAGGAGTAATTTAGTGATAAGTTTTAGTATAATGGAAAGAGCTCTAGAATCAGAGAGCCTGGCTTCAAATCCCCTCTCTGATGCCTACTACTACTATGTAACCTGGGGCTTAATATTTAAGCCTCAGTTTCCTCATGTGTAAAAAATTAAGTTGGACTTGGTGGCCTCTGGAGTTTCTTCTAGGTGTAGATCTCTGATCTAGACCAAATTCTTTATTAAAGAAGATTTACTTCCAGGAACTTTCCTTTTTCTTTTTTCATTGCACCTGTCATGCTAGAATTGTATTGCTGGAGATCTTGTTTCCCACAAAATATGTCAAGGGCTATTTTTGTTTGCCTATTTAACTTTATAGATTGTTTGTCCTTCATCCTTGAAGAGGGCCATAACATCACGAAGGTGATGTCATGATGTGCAAGTGAATTGGATATAAGTGAGGCAAAGCTGTGCAAAGTCACCAGTCTCACTCTCTCCTCTAGAGCCATCTGGGGCCAGTGGCATGATATAGATTAGGACAACTGGAGATGTACCTGGGATGTAGTGGGAGACGTTGGCCTTTTAAGCTAAGGTCTTTCCTAGGTCTCAGTTTTTCTGAGGCAATGCCCATTCATTGATTAAGGTGAAGTAAAAATGAGGCAAAGACTAGCCTCTTTGACTTAGTTTAAAAAAAAAAATCCATCTGGGATGGGAAGACCCTCAGGGTTTCTGGCCAAAACAGAAACAATTGCTATTTACACACTCTGAGTCATCAGAACCCAAACAATGATCCAGTGACCCTTTCTTTCCTTTTTCTCCTTTTTTCCTTTTTCCTTCCTTCCTTCTTTCCTTTCTTCTTTCCTTCCTCCCTTCCTCTCTCCCTCCCTCTCTCTCTCCTCTCCCTCCTCTCCCTTCTCTTCCTCCTCCTTCTTTGTCCACATAGGGAATCATACCCTTTCCTGTGGGTACTCTGCCCAAAGGAATATAATTCTTGATCACTGAAACCTAACAAGATATCTTGGAATTTACAGGCAAGATTTCTTTTTTATGGACCATGACTTAAACCCAAATCACTCTGGCTATCATTGATTGGCCAACAATAGGACCAAGCCCAAGCCTCACTAGGTCAACTTTATAAATAGTTAACTGATCTACATGAATGCATTCATTTTTTGAGCAAACTTATTTGATTAATTAATGATTACGGTGTCATTATAGTCAGTCTGGGCTAGTGTTTATTTGTTGAATAAATTACTATGTGATATATATTTTACATAAAAATTAGGCCCAATACTAAATTTTTGGCACATGATTATATAGGCATATTCTTAAGTATTTCAGATTATTTGTGCTGAAAGTTTAATGGAGTAAAAATCTCATTTCTCCCCCATTTTGATTATGTTGCTATTAGGGCAAGGGATTTTTGAAGGAAATTAAAAATAAAACAAAACAAAACAAAACAAAACTCTAGTCTGCTTATGTACTTCCCTATGCAAAGCTTGTCAGTGGTGTTCTCTGTTACCTCTACTTAATACAGAGGTTCCTTGGCCTGGCAGTTAAAGCCCTTGGCATTCTTGCTCCTAATTCTCTTTCCAGTCTATTTTCATATTTTTTCATACACTCCTGCTGTAATCAGATGGGCTTGCTGGCTCTTTATGTGACATTTTGTCCTCTGTCTCCTTTTGTATGTTGCAAAAGTGGCCCCATAGCCCTATATCAAACTTCACCTTGTAAGATTCCTAGCTTTTTTCAAATCCCATCTCGGGTACTACTTTTTATGAGCAGTTTTTACTGATTCCCTCCTTCAGGAATTAGTTTTCCTTCTCTCTCTTGAAATTACATTATATTCCTTTGAATTATTTTGTTTTTACTTCTCAGAGAAACTATTGTATTCATGAGTAGCATCTTAGCTCCCTGAGGGCTAGGAGTATTATTATTATTATTATTTTTGCTCAGTATATCTCAGAACCTAGCACAGTGCCTTGCACAAAGCAGTTAGTTAGTAAATTTTCTTTTTCTGACTTATCTTTGCATTTTTTGTGAACTGAACCATTTGTAACTCGCATTAAGAATAAGTAAGAAGACCATCTTTCTCTATATTTGGAAATAGTTTGAGTAGTGGCAAAACCATTTAGTATAAATACCTTTTATATGACTGCTCATTCATGATTTTCTTAATTTTTACTTCTGAGAGAACCTAAATAAAGTAAATTCTTGGGTTTTTTTGTCGATTTGAATATTTTTATATTATTGAAAATGCTATAGTTATAGTTCTTTCAAAACTTTAGTTTTGTTGACATAGTATATGGTAGTTTTTTCACTCATTGCTATTTTCCCTTTTTCATTTTAAATTTTCCTTTTTTTTTTGTTATATTTGCAGATTGTTTATCAATTTCATTGGTCTTTTCAAAAATCCAGCTCATGGTTTCACTTATTATTTCTTTTATTGCTAACTTTATTAGTTTCTCCTCTTAGCTCTTTCTACTCCAAAAAGTTTATTAATTTTGTTTTCTCCTCCATTGTTTTTACAAGCCTATTTGTTTTTCTTTATGGGTTTTCCAAATACTTCCTCTTTTTTTCCTCTTTCTGTCAAGCCAGAAGCTATCATGAATCAGGTACTTTTCTTTTGGTTTTGCTTAAAAGCATCATGGGTATAGCCTACACTTGTTTAAGAAAACCAATTTCACAAATCCAGGATAGAGGAGGTGTGGTTAAACAACCATTCTTGTGAAAAAGATCTGGCAGTGTTAATGGGCTACAGGTTTAATACAAGTCAGTATGCAATATGATAGTAGCAAAAAAAAAACCCCAAAAATAGGGTATACGTGTATATGCATTAGTAGAGATACAGCACCCAGAGTGAGGGAGGTGGTCATTCTTTTGGTTAACTGCTGCCTGCATTACTGTGTTCATTTCTGAGAACCACATTTTATTTATTTAAAAAAATTTTTTTAAATGTATTATCCCTCCAATTACACGTTAAAACAATTTTTTAACATTTTTTTAAAAAGTTTCGAGTTTCAAATTTTATCCCTCTCTCCCCTCCTCCCTCCTTGAGACAATAAGCAATTAGATATAGGTTATATGTGTGCAATCATTTAAAACACTTCCATATTAGTCATTTTGTACAGGAAGACTTGAATAAAGGAAAAAGAATGAAAGAAAGAAACTGAAAAATGGCATGCTTCAGTCTGTATTCAAACAATATCAGTTCTTTCTCTGCAGGTGGAGAGTATTCTTCATTATTAGTCCTTTGGGAATTTCTTGGATTGTTGTATTGTTGAGAATAACCAAGTTATTCACAATACTTCATTGGATAATATTGCTGCTACTGTGTATAATGTTCTTCTGGTTCTATTCACTTCACTATGCATCAATTCATGTAAGCTTTCCAGGTTTTTCTGAAATCGTCCTGCTTGTCATTTCTTATAGTACAATAATATTCCATTACGATCATATGCCATGGTTTTTTTAGGCATTCCCCAACTGATGGGCATCCCTTTCACTTCTAATTCTTAGCTACCACAAAAAGAACTGCTATAGATATTTTTGGACAAGTAGATCCTTTCCTTTTTTTTTTTAAATGTCTGTGGGATATAAACCTAGCAGTGGTATTGCTGGATCAAAGGGTATGCACAGTTTTATAGTCCGTGGGCATGGTTCCAAATTGCTCTCCAGAATGGTTAGATCAGTTCACAGTATAACAGTGCATTAGCACTAGTTTTTCCACATCCCCTCCAGCATCCATCATTTTCTTTTTGTCATATCAGCCAATCTGATAGGTGTGAGGTGGTACCTCAGAGTTGTTTTAAATTGTATTTCTCTAATCAATAGTGATTTAGGGCATTTTTTCATATGACTGTAGATGGCTTTGGTTTCTTTATCTGAAAACTGCCTGTTCATAGCCTTTAACCATTTACCAATTGGGGAATGACTTGTATTCTTATAAATTAGACTCAGTTCTTTATATATTTGAGAAATGAGGCCTTTATCGGAGATACTTGTTGCAAAAGTTTTTTTCCCCAGGTTTCTGCTGTCCTTCTAATTTTGGTCTTGTTTGTGCAAACGCTTCTTAATTTAATATAATCAAAATGATTTGTTTTACATTTTGTAGTGCTCTCTATCTCTTGTTTGGTCATAAATTCTTCTCTTGTCCATAGATCTGAAAGATACACTATTCCATGCTTTCCTAATTTACTTATGGTATCATCCTTTATGTGTGAATCATGTACCCATTTTGACTTTATCTTGGTATAAGGTACAAGATGTTGGTCTATACCTGTTTTCTGCTATACTGTTTTCCAGCTTTCCCAGCAGTCTTTGTGAAATAATGAGTTTTTGTGAGAACCACATTTTAGAGAAGACAAGTTAATCCTAATAATAGCTAGCATTTGCATGGTACTTTAAGATTTCCAAAGTGTTTTACAAATGTTATCTTATTTTATCCTCACAACAACCCTAGGAGGCAGATGTTATTATTATGCCCATTTTACAGATAAAGAAACTGAAGCAGACTTTGGTTAAATTACTTGCCCAGGGTCACCCAGCTAGTAAGGATCTGAGGCCAAATTTGAACTCAGGTCTTCTTGACTCCAAGCCTAACACTCTATCTGTTGCACCACAGGAGGAGAAATAAAATGTTCCAGGGAATGGAGACTATGCTGTCTGAAGATCCGCTGAAAAGCGGTTGCCTGGGCTAGAAAAGAGAAGACTGTGAGCTCTTTGAGGGCAGGGACTGTCTTTAGCCTTTTTTTGTGTCCCAAGTGCTTTGCACAGTGCCTGGCACACAGTAGGTGATTAATAAATATTAATTGACTGAGAAGACTTGAGAGGGTAGGAATAGGAAGACAGGGCATGATAGATAACCTCCAGGTATTTGAAAAGCTATCCTGTGGAAAGGAGATTGGACTCTTTCATATTGACCACAGAGGGCAAAAGTAGGAGTAATGGGTGGAAATGATAGCAATATGGGATTAGTGTAAGGGAACCAAAGTGGAAAGGTCTGTGTCTCAAACTGAAAGCCTCCCCCTCCAGACCATTAAATGCCCAGACTGAGTTGAAATACTGTCTCAGGGGGTCTAACTGAAGGAGGATGGGGGATTGAAAGAGGAAAGAGAGAATCTCTTCTAACCCACCTCATTTCGCAGAGGAGGAAACAAACTCAGGTCTTCTCTAAGGTGTCATAGGTGCTAACGGACAGAGCTCAGAGGTCCTCTTGACTGCAGCTAGGGCTCTTCCACTGAAACTTGCTGTAGATGCTGCAGGCTCATTTTACTGATTGTCAAGGGCTGGCTTTGGCCATCAGTTATACAAAGCAGAAAACGGTCAAACGGTCAATCTTTAGATTTGCTTCTAGAGCACAATTTTTTAAGAATTGTATCTATATCTAGCTTTTTCTGGTTTCTAGTTTCTGTGTCTAGTCAGTTCTCAATCCAACTTCCTCTCCCTGGTTCCCTGAGATGTCTGTCCTTGTCTGTTTTGCTTTGATTTCTAGTTCTGGCTGGATCCTTCTTGATGAAGTAACAGGTCTCTTCTGGTTACTAGTGTCTGTCCTTAGCCCTTGCCCTTTTTTCTTTAGCTGAGTAGCAGCTTTCTCCTGGGCCTCAGTTTCTATCTGGTTAATTCTGTATCCTCCCTGCCACCTCCCACCACCCACATTGTCCTCATTTCAATTAGATTGTTAGATAAAGTATTTATTAAGCAGTTACTATATATGCCAGGCACTGTGCTAGATGCTAAAACCAAATAAACAAAGAAATAAATAAGATTGTCCCTATTTTCCAGGTGTTTACTCATGGCCTCACGTCCCTGATGTCATGGTCCTTTGAAGGACAAACAACAGTAACAATAACACATAAAGGGAAGCTGGAAAAGGAATGAGGAGGGGACACACGTAGGGGCAAGGCTGCTGGGTGGAGAGGGAGCAGGCCAATAATGAGCCAGAAAGAAAGTGAGCCGTGCAGTGGGGGCTTCTCATGATATCCTCTAATGACCAGGCAGGAATACACTAGTCACTAAGTCAGCCTGATAGAGGAGTCATCCTTGGTCAGGTAAGACAGCTGTCATGGAGGCGGAGCCAGAAGAGAACCCTTACTATTAGCTAAGCCTGTTAGCAAACATAAGATCATTTAGTACAGCTATCACAGATAGATTGTACCTGAGATGGGAACAATTCACCATACCGTTGGCATTGGTAATAGCCCCAAATGATTTTTACATAAGGCAGTACAGGAAAAGTCAAGTAAGGGCTGATGCATGCTTTGTAAAGTGTGTCTTATAGAACATTAGCGTGCAGGGCAAATCTGCAAGTTCTGATGAGATGACAATTCAAAGACTTTTTTTTATCCTTTCTTAACTTTGTGGCTTTCAGTTGAAGCCCGATAATAATTGAAAGCAAACGGACTAGACTACAGCAACATATCACAAAGATTATACACTAGGACCGGGCCGGATTTATGCCGGTCGTACAGAGCTGGTTCAATGTTAGGAAAACTATAAACATAACTCATCCTATGAATAATAAAAATAACAAAAATCATATAATTATATTAAGAATTGCAGAAAAAGCTTTTGAGAAAACATAATACTAACTTCTTTAAAAAACATTAGAAAGCACAGGACTAAATGGAGTTTTCTTTAATATAATAAGTAGTATCTATTTAAAACCAAGAAAAAGCATTGTCTGTAAGGGAGGTAAGCTAGAAACTCTTCCAATAAGATGAGGGATAAAGTGAGGATGTCTATTATCGGCATTGCTATTCAGTATAGTGCTAGAAATAGTGCTAGCTACAGCAATAAGACAAGAAAAAGAAATTGAGGAGGCAAGTATGGACAAGGAGGAGACAAAATTGTACTTTTTTGCAGGTGATATGTTAGTATACTTTGAGCACCCTAGAAAGTCACCTATATAACTAACTGAAACAAGTAACAATTTCATCAGGATTGCAAGATATAAAATAAACCATACAAATCATCCACATTTCATGTATATTACCAACCAAATCCAGTACAAAGAGATAGAAAGAGAAATTCCATTTGAAATAAATACAGAAAGTATAAAACACTTGAGTCTACCTGCTAAGACACCCACAGAAGTATGTAACCATATTTATGAAACTTTTCATACAAATAGAGACAGCTCATGGGTAGGCCAAGTAAATATAATAAACATGACAGTACTCCCCAAATTAATTTACTAATTCAGTGCCATATCAAATTGCCAAATAATTACTTTATACAACTAGGAAAAATAATAAAATTTTCTGGAGGAACAAGAAGACTATCAAGGGAATTAAGAGAAAAAAGTGGGAAGAAGGGTAGCCCAGCAGTATCAGATTTCAGATTATATTTCAAAGCCGAAAATCATCAAATGATTTGGTATTATGTAAGAAATACAGTAGGTGTACAATATACAGAAGCAAATGAGCAAGTGTTTGATCAACACAAAGATCCCAACTATTGGGGCCAGAACTCACTATCAAAAAAACAAAACAAAACAAAATCTTTGAAAAAACCTGGAAAGCAGTCTGGCAGAAATGTCTTACCATATACCAGGATGTGTTCAAAATGGGTATATGATTTATACATAAAGGGTGAAATCACATATTAGAGAAACGTGGAAGAAATAACCCGTTATATCTATGGAGAGGGGAAGAGTTCATGACTGAAAAAAGAAATATAGAGGTTCATAAGTGGCAAAATGGATAGTTTCATTACTTGAGATTAAAAAGGGGTTTTCACAAACAAAACCGATGTTGCTAAAATTAGAAGAGAACAGGAAATTAGGGAGAAATTCTTTGTAGCAAATTTCTCTGATAAAAGTCTCATTTCTAAGATATATGAGAACTTATATATCAAACTTATAAGAATAAGAGCCATTCTCCAGTTGATAAATGGTCAAAGATATGAATAGGCAGTTTTCAGAGGAAGAAATGCAATCAACAGTCATTTTGAAAAATGATATAAATTGCTAATTATTAGAAAAATACAAGTTAAAACAACTTTGAGATGTCACTTCACCTCCATCAAATTGGCTAAGATAATAGAAGAGGAAAATGACAAATGCTGGAGGGGCTGTGGGAAAACAAGTACATTAATGCTGTGTTGGTGGAACTATCCACAGGTCGAGCCATTCTGGAAAGCAATTGGAACTATGCCCCCAAAGCTATTAAATCTCGATGAGATCAAAGAAAAAGAAAAAGAAGTCATACATCCCAAAATATTTGTATCAGCTCTTTTTGTGGTGGCAAAGAATTGAAAATTGAGGGGATGCCCATCAGTTGGGGAATGGCTAAACAAGTTGTGATACATGAATGTGATGGAATAGTATTGTGCCATAAGAAAAGATGAAAGGGAAGTTTTCAGAGAAACCTGGAAAGGCACATATGACCTGATACAAAGTGTAGTGAGCAGAACCAAATCATCACTTTAGACAATAAAAACAATATTGTAAAGGCAAACAACTTTTAAAAGACTTAGGAATGCCAGTCAACACAATGACCCATCATAGTTCCAGAGGACTAATGATGAAACCAGTCTTCAGATGGAGAGATGATAGCCTAGAGTGCAGACTGAGGCATATGTTTTTGTTCTGATTTTGGACATGACTAACACAGCAATATGTTTTGCTTAAATATATGTTTGTAATGGGTATGGTTTTTCTTGCTTTCTCAATGGGAGTGGGGGTGGTGGGTGGGAGAAAAGTAATTTGGAGCTGAAAATAAAACAACTTAGAAAAAAATTTTAAAAAGGTAACAAACTGATGTGGATTATGTCAGTTCAGTTTTATTCCGGGATTCCTCACGAGAAATGACTTTATTTGTCTCTCCTGAATCCCTCTCACCTAAGAAACAATTCTGCTCCATGTGGTTCTTTGTGTCCCTAGGGACAAATTAGGAAAAGCTGAGAGGTGGGAACAGAAATTACAAGCCAGACAATTTTCTAGCTGCTCTTGAGTTAAATCTTATAGTGACTGTTCTTTTATCTGAAGTGACGTGACTTCCAAGAACATTAACTGTAATCCTATTTAAATAGATACAAAATGCATTCCAAAATGAAAATTCCTCTACAGTTTTGGTTATCCTTACAATTGCTTTTTTCTACATTCACCTAAGTTATACATAATTGACTCATCTTTAGGTGTTTGAGCTAATTAGGCCACAGATTATCATTTGTATAAGGAATGGATATATGGTAAAATACTGTGTGTCCTTGGTCTTGTCACTGAATTATTCTAAGCTCAGGCCTCCTCTTTTGTAACACTAGAGCAGTAAAATAAATTGTTGGGAATGCTGTGGTTCTATGAGCAGAAATACCATGGCAAACTCCTCTGATGGATCCTTGTCCTTACAGAGGTTCTTATTAGAACTTTTCAGTCCCTTGTATTGTAATATATTCATTGTATCTTGTATGTTTATTGCAGGTACAACTATTAGATTTCATATCTGGCAGATCATGTATATCCTATGAAAATATAAATCTTTCTGGATCAGAATCTCCAGCCAGTAAATGCAACTTGGATAATAAAAAGGTACTGGGAACATGGAATTAGTAGGCTATGATCCCTGAAACACCTCTACGTAAGTAAGAGAGCTGGATTTGGAGTCAGGCAGATCTGGGTTCAGATCCTGCCTGTCTCACTTAATTGCTGTATGACTTTGGGCAAGGCATTCACTCTCCCTAAAACTCAGTTTCCTCATCTGTAAAACAAGAGGGTTGGACTAGAGGACCTCTAAGGTCTCTTCCGGCTCGAAGTCTCGGATCCAATGATCCCTTATATTTGAATGTTAGCTCCTCAAGGACAGATAGCGCTTCATTTTTGTTTTTGCATCTCTAGTGTCTGCATGTCGTTCAAAAACTGTTCTTTTTGCTTAATAATTACTAGTCGATTGATTATGTTGCATCCGATCTTTATCAAAACGCAGCTCACATGTGTGTATATGTATGTATGGTGAGTGAGTGAAGGCTGTGGTGGTGGGGAGACTTGATTGGATTTTAAAAATTCATTTAAACAAAGTGATGTCCAGCATCTCGATTTATTTGCAAGTGTTAACAAATTGGTGGTACAAAGAATGGCCAGGATCCTCGTATAATGAGTGGATGGTGAGAAAGGAGGGTCTGAGGGAGGTGGCTGGAGGGTGCTCTTACTATCAGGAAAGGATGGAGACTCCAAGGTTCAGTCACTTGGTTGAAGCACCCAGATAGTTTCCCTTTACAAGCACTACTTCCTAGAACCTTCTTATGAAGGCTTTTTGTTTCTTAAAAATTTTATTTCTTATTCTGATCTTAACAAACACCAAATAAAATGGACATTTCCACATACCAAGTGGAACAGAAAAAGGCATGAGGCTGAATTAGATAGGCAGATAGATAGGCTGTGTGGCCATGGACAGATCAAAAATGGATTAGTCTTTTTTGTTGAAAGTGGTTTTAGTGTAAGATGAATGACGAGATTAAGAGATCAGAGCTCCAGTAATATGGCTTACCACATAAACAATACCTGGATACTTAGAAGAGTCTGTGAGCTTACTGATGTCAGTATTCCTTTCAATAATGATGGCACCCTGTTCAGACCTTCTTATTCCATGTAACTCTTGTCTTCCCATAAATCCTCCCCAGGGCTTCTATCCAAAGAGCTGTGAGCCTTCATTTAGCTTTCTAGACACTGTGGATCCCTGGGCTTCTCACTATGTGACCAATTCATTCTCTCTTCTAGGCAACCATCTCTGACATTCTGCCTGCTACTTGAGTACAATTCTTCATTGACAAACATTGCAGCTTACTCCCACCCACCATATGCTGCATTGTCTTTACTTTCTGGATGATCTGCTTTGATGCTTTAGAGAAGGTGATTGTTCAATGATGAACAACCACAGAACATCACCAATGAATATTAATATTAAAAAGATTGGCCTTTATTTCCAGTAGAAGCTTGCATTCATTGACACCACTGCTCGGTTTCCCAAAGGCAATCTAGCCCGCCTTCTCCTGTTCAGTTTTGGCCCCAGCTCATTGTCCATGCACAGTATCTGTCAAAGATATTTATACTGATGGACCAGCTTGATGGCCTGACTATGTGTATCATATGGTGGGCAACTGTCAGTCTTCATTCCTTTTTTTTTTTTTAAATGAGTTAACTTATGTAACAAATAGACAAGCCATAGAAAATGGAGTGAAATAATTTTTTTTTTTGCCCCAGTTCATTTTACTCTTTTCCCCCATTAGGTCCAGCAAAAATATGTTAAAGGTCTCATGAAGGGTCTAGCTCTTCTTTGGAGGTTTATAGAATTGCAAGAAATAGTCTAATCACTTTTTTCCAGGAATATTGATATTATTACATTCTTTAGTATTAATCCATTCTTTTATACATTTTAGTTGCTTATATTATTTCTAAGATAATCTGATTTACTAATTGACTAGTCATTATTTTGGATCTCTATTATGTTTTACTCTGAAAATAGAACAGCATACATTCTGTTTATTAGTAAGTGTGTTTTTCTTGTGTATTTTGTAAAGGGAAAAACTATAAAACATACAGTTTCATGTCAAAAAATATTCTCAGAAAGGGTTAGAAACATACTAAATGTCTGAAGTAGCCTTCTAGTTAGCCTTGACAATAGGCACCAAAGACTTTTACTATTTCCAGGTTAGTATTTCTAGATAGAGTGGCCCTTTTTCTCTTGGTTGTGTGTGTGTGTATGTGTGTGTGTGTGTGTGTGTGTGTGTGTGCTTGCACATGTGTAACACATGCTTTAGTTACACACACTTTAGTTAGGCTAAATTGGTGCTATAGAAGTTCTGAAGCAACAAATGCAAAACTGGAATAAAGATTCACAATCTCACTTCCCCCCATGGTTTTGCTAGCTCTGTTCTATTTTCTCCCTTATGTATTATTCACAAATTGGCACAAAGACTGGTTTTCTTCAATAAGAAATAAGTGAGGAGTGAAGGAATGAAGAAAGAAAAAAAAAACTTGAATAAGATGGTTCAGTATCAAAATAAGTTTTGCAAATACTTTTTGAGACTCATGGAATCAGTCCATTTCACAAAATCAAATAGCGGTATTTTTATTTTGGGTATTTTCAGAAAAGCTCCAATCTTGTGGATTTTTCCAATATATGCCATTTCTTCTGGACCAAAGAGCTGTCCTTCTGTGGAATGCTTTTTGAGAGTACCTCTTCAAAGCCACTTGAGAATACTACATGAGGGCACCATAACTGCCATGTTATCTGACCATAATGAGAGGGAGAGAACTCCAACTGTAGACAGAAGTCAAAATGACTCTAACTGTAAAGAATCCAAGATATTTTTCCTTCAAGTTTGCCCAGGCCCACAAGTCAGGAGAGAACGTGCCAACCCTAGCAAGCAAGTTGTAAATGTGAGAACTAAAGCCTTGTCTTATACCCAGCAGAGAACTGGTAAATCTGTAATGATTAATCCTTTTTTGGTGGTACCAGTGGTGGTGGGGGTAAGGGGGGGAGTTGGGCATTAGAATAGATAGCAAGATAAGAACTAGCTTATATTAGGTGTAGAAAAAATAGAGAATTAAAGTTACTGATAACCAAGAGCTTTTACTTGCCTTACTGTGTTTAATTTTTTGTCAAATTGAATACTTCTTCCAGATGTCAGAGGGATACAAATAGTATTCAAATGTTTAATAGATAAGAGATACATAGAGGGAATTAAAAAGTTTATTTAACACTTAGCCTGTTGCATTATACAAGTGTCACCTATCATTTAGAAATTCTTTTAAGACCAGAGTGTAAAAATAGACCAATACCTTGCTTCCTGTAATATCTCCAAACCAAAGTTGGCATCTCCAAGTAGCTTACTCCTAAGGTAATAGTACTATCCAACCTTCCAATTTCTAAATATGTTTGTAAAGTTGTATAATTTTTGGAAAACCATTAAGGAATTGTATTCCTTCTTAGTGCTTACTGGAGGTGGGGAGGAGGGAAGCATTTATTTGATAACAACTGTGTGCCAACCACTGTGCTAAGTGCCTTACAAATATTACCTCATTTGATTAGTGGACCAATAAAACCACAAGTGTTGAAGGTTCTTTTTAGAATATACAAAAAAAAAATACAATTTGAGATATAAGACCAAAAAAAAAAATTAAAATACTCTAGAATCCAAACTAAATATTAGAAAAATTACAACCAATTTATAACCAAATTATAACAAAAATTATAATCTGAAATTATAGCCAATCCACCACTTAGTAAGTATTTATTAAGTGTCTTCTATGTGTCTGACACTGCTCCAGGTATGGGAATATAGAGATATAAATGAACCAGAGCCTGTCCTTAAGGAGCTTACATTCTGTAAAGGGAGACACACGAAATATTTATGCATATAAATACATACAAAATAGATGATAAATAATTTATGAGGGAAACACTAGCATTTGGAGACAGCAAGCAAGGCCTCATGTACGAAGTTTATTCTGTAGGGGAGTGACACGGTCCGATCTGTAGCTAAGGAAAATCATTTTGGCATTCATACGGAGAATAGATTGGGGAAAGGAGGGGCTTGAGACTTTATGTGAGGTGGGGAGACTAATTAGAAGGCTATTGTAATAATCCAGGTGAGAGGGGATAAGGGTCTGAACAAGGATGACCTTATAAGTGGAGACAAAGGGATGGATGTAATAAGTATTGTGTGGGTAGGACTGACAAGGTTTGTCTTCTGATTTACCCGATGAAGCTAGGGAGTATGTTGTTTTGATGTCTTGACTTGCAAGTGGATTGGATTTCAGTGAGGCAGAGTTGTGCAAAGCCATCAGGTTCATTCTCTCTTCCAGAGTCACCAGAATCCAGTGGAAAGACATGGGTCAAGATGACAGGCAATGGCCCCAGATGCAGTGGGAGAGCTTGGCCTTTTTAAGCTAAGGTCTTTCCCAGGTCTCTGTTTGTCTAAGGCAACACCCATTCAGTAGTTAAAGGCTAGGTAAGAATTGAGGCAAAAGATGGCTTAGTTTGCCTTCACAAAAGAAGGCTTGTGAGTGTGAAGAGTTGATAATAGTACCAAGGCTACAGAATAATTAAAAGGATGGTGATGCCTTCACCAGTACCAAGACAGTTCAAAAGCAGTGTGGGTTTAGGAGGAAAAGAGGATGAATTCTGTTTTGGAGATGTTGAACTTAAGATACCTATAGGACATTTAATTTGAAATGTCCAATAGGCAGTTAGTGATCAGGATTGGAACTCAGGAGAGAGACCAGGGCTGTATATATCAATCAGAATCATCTGTACCGTGATAATAATTGAACTTGTAGTAGCTTATGACACCACTGCGTGTGAGAGAGAGAGGGAGGGAGGAGGGATGAGGGATGAGAGAGAGACCCCGACCAGGAAAGCGCCTTAGGGGACACCCACAGTTAGGGGATATGATATGGATGATGATTTAACAAAGGAGACTGAGAAGGAGCAGTCGGGGGAAGAGAAGCAGAGAGAGCAGGAAGGGGTGATACAAAAACCTAGCGAAGAGAGAGTGTACGAGAAGAGAGGACAAGACAGTCAGCAGTGCCAGGCACTGTAGAGAGGGCAAGAGGGATGAGGATGAAGTATGTCAGGAGTATCAAAGGCATCCAAACAAACATGAAGGTGTTCATTCAAATATTTATTGAGCCTCTATTATATGCAACACCCTGTGTGGGGGATTAAAATAAACATGCATCTTACTGGAGCCTTATCTTAGCCCAACTGTACATCTGGCTTTTGACTGACAGGAAGTACAGGGGGAAGTGCAGACCATGGGCAGTTGTTGGGAGTCAGGAGTGAAGTCCTAGGGGAACAAGCAGCTTGATAGTGAGTGGCCACCTGCCTGGGGATTCCTCCCTTCCCACCTCACCTTTCATAGAAGATGCTCCGGGGACACCAACTAATGACCACACATGGATAAAGATGCCGCGGGGGCATCGACTTCACTTACCTAGGTTCAGCTACTTTCATTGAAAAGCATCGTTTTTGCCAAGTGGGAAATGTCTTAGAAAATAAGGCATTCTCCATGACCCCATGCCCTTCCCCCTTTCACTTCTTGCTTTTGGGTTCCCAGTAAGAATTTCAGGTTTTCTGGGTATCATTTTTAACCATGCTACCTTTTTACCTCCCTGGCTACCAGTGTGAGAAGTGTTCTGTGATTCAGATACACCAATTGTGAAACCTTACCCACAGTGGTGATATTTTCTATATGTTTTCAGGATCAGTCTTAGAATTTTAGAACTTGTTAGGTCTTTAAAAATCTTTCTGCACACAGGAAGCCTTTGAGTTGGATTTTAAAGGATGGTTGGAAAGTCAACAGATGAAATAGGAAAGGGAATAAATGTCAGGCATCGGGAACACCGTGGATAAATGCTTGGAGAAGTGAGTGTAACACGTATTCGAGGATTTCTTGTATGGAGGAGATTAACTTGAAGCAGCCTAAAGAGATAGGTGACAGCAGATTGTGAGGGGCTTTAAATGTCTTGTAGAAGTTTGAAATACCAAGGCACCGCAGATTATTTGACCATATGAGAAAGAGAAGTCTCATGGCAAGGTATAAAAATAATAGTTTGGAAGGCAAACAGTGAGGTAAGGTGGGAAAGATCTCCTAAGAGATGCTTATAGTAGTGCAAAGCTTTTGTTGGTTTTTAGGGGCATAGAAATAGAAAGAAGATAGGTAGGAGAGATCACCTCTCAAGCAAAAAAGTCTATTGCCCTTAAGATCTTTACATTTTAATAATGTAAGATGATAACAGCAATAAAAATAACTACCACTTTTGTAGTGCTGTGTAGCCCTTTAAGGCATGCAAAGTGCTTTTACATTTGATCCTCACAACTCCCATGGGATGTAGGTGCTATTATTATTTCCATTTTATGGGTGAGGAAACTGAGGCAAACAGCGTTTAAGTGACTTGCCCAGGGTCACACAGCTAATAAGTCTCTGAGGTAGGATTTACACTCAGGTTTTCCTGATTCCAAGTCTTCTCTATCCATTGGAAACTAGAGTTGGAAAGGAAAGGGTGGGGGAGATTACTTGTACAGGGGCATGGTGTGGAGTTATTTGGAAAGAAAGATTCGATTGGCCCAAGATCAGGAAAAATAAGGTGAAAGCTTGGGATTCTTCAAGGCAGAATGAGAAAGGAGGACATTCCAGGAATGGACAACCTGTACAAAGAAGGTGGAGATAGAATGATGTGATGGGGAACCTGCATTTAGATGAGAGGTAGCTGCAACTATCAGAATGCATAGGATTTGTCCAAAGAGAAAATGTAGAGAGAGAAAAGAAAGGGTGATTGGGAAGTAGGTTGGGTGATTAAGAAAAGGAAATACTTGTAATAGAGAAGAGAAAGTATTATTTAGAAGCTTCATTCTTGTTACTTCCCAAATGGTTCCATTTTCTTCGGTGTATATGAGATTGTAACCCTCCAAATAATCATTTGATGTTTTATTGAACAGGTACAGTCAATAGCAAGGAAAATTATCTGCTCATATTTAAGCCTGTTGGTGAATTCAAAGAATGACTTAGCCTTGGCTCATATCATTAACGTTCCTGACAGAGGACTTGGAAGAGAAGCCTTCACGGATCTCAAACATGCTGCTCAGGAAAAGCAAATGTCTGTCTTCCTGGTATGGAAACCTGGATTTTCAAAGTACTTCAGTTATTTTGTCATTAGGCTGAAAACTTTCCTGTAATGTTTTTAGAAAGAGGTGGTTTTATTTTAGAGTACCTTACGGTTAGATTTCTTGAGACTCAAAAGAAATCTCATCTGTATCACTAATTTAGATTCTAATAATTTTCTTTACGGCTATGTATATGGGCTCCCTCACATAATTATTTGTTTTCCAAAGGAAATTTCTCAAGACTTTTTCTTTGCTTTCTGTATACAAAAGTTCTTATTTGAGTGACTTTCAGCAAAAGTACTTCCCTGGGTCTCAGTTTCTTCATTTGTAAAATGAAAGAATCGAACTAAACGGCTTCTGAGGACACTTTGAACTCAAGATCCATTGTCCGCCACCAAAGCGATTTCCCCTTGCTCTTAGGCAGGAGTATATGAACATATGATCATAGTCTCATGGAATTTTAGAACTAGAAAGAACTTTATTCTAACCTCAATGGAAATGGGAAATAGTTCCTGCCCACAAGGAGCTTACATTCTGAAAACCGGAGCTGAAGGCCCAAAATCCAAGGGGTATATGATATTCCTACCTTCTCTAGTCTTTCTTGACAAGGAGGTATAACCTTCCAATGTCTTACTCACAAGATTCCTTGGCTGAGAGGCAAAGATCTTGGCCTAAGTAAATCAAACCCAATGAGATGTCTGGACCCCTCCAACTCTAGACAAGATAGCCCCCACTCAGAGAGGGGCTATTGGGAAAGCTTGAAGTGAGCAACGAAAATGTGGCATTTACTTACTGGTCAGCCTCCTAATTTAGCACAACCCTACCTTCTGGGAGAGATCTCAGCCTTCTCTGTCTCTGATCTTCTACTAGGCCTGGCTTGACATCCTCTTGACTCTATTAACTTTATTGCGGCTTTTTGAACATGTCTTTATCAGACTTGTCTTTTTGCCATCTAATGTTGGTTCTCATCTCTACCGGCTTTTAACTTGGTATTGCAGATAGAAATCTTTGGACCAGTATCTTAATGTCTACCTTTTGGTTATAATTGCAGCTTTTCTTATTACTTACTAAGTATTACTAAATAACTTCTTTGAACTTACAGGTTGCCACCTCGTTCATTAGGATGATAGAGCTTGGAGGGAAAGGATATGCACCTTCCCCATCTGATCCTCTCAGGACACATGGAAAGGGGTTAAATAATTTTATTATTTTCATGGACAAACTGGAAGAAATTCTAGGAGAAATACCAAATCCAAGGTAATAGCTCATGTGATATTCATAGTAGTCAGTTTAAATTTTAATGTATTAACTTATAGAGTTGGACATGTGAAAAGTATTAAAAATATGAAATCAAAATGAACCAGTGAATAGGCAGATGTTGTTCAGTTATGTCTGACTCTTTGTGACCCCATTTAAGGTTTTGTTGGCAAAGATACTGGAGTGGTTTGCCATTTCCTCTATCTCATTTTATAGATAAGGAAACTGAGACAAACAGGGTTAAGTGACTTGTCCAGGGTCACACAGCTAGTGTCTGAGGCCAGATTTGAACTCAGGAAGATGAGTCTTACTAATTCCAGGCCCAGCACTCTATCCACTGCACCACCTAGCTGCCCCCAAATAAGCAAATATCAGGCTTTAAAGTAATTGACAAAATTGTAATCATGTGATTTTTGAGTTTTTAAGAGTTTTTGTCTAGTTTTGATATCAAGATTTTTGCCAAAGGTAGAAAGACAGTTTCATTAGCTCTCTCAAAGAAGCATATTTACTACAAGTCTTTGGAAAAATTTCTAGAATTATGAAATTTTAGGTGTGCAAGAAAACTCACACAAGGTAAGATAAAAGACTTTGGTGAAGGGGCAGCTAGGTGGTGCAGTGCATAGAGCTCCAGCCTTGGAGTCAGGAGGACCTGAGTTCAAATTTGGCCTCAGACACTTGACACTTAACTAGCTGTGTGTCCCTGGGCAAGTCACTTTAACCCCAATTGCCTCACCAAAAAGAAAAAAAAAAGACTTAGGTGAAGTAGAAAATGCCCAAGACTTTGGTGTTGTTATAGACCTGGGTTCAAGTCCTGTCTCCTTCATTGGCTAGCTGGGTGAGCTGGGATGATTCAGTTCTATAAACAGTAAGTATATATTTTGTGTCAGGCACTGTGCTTGAGGGTCTGGTGAAATGGAACAAAATCAAACAGCTTATAACAATTTGGGGAAAGCAACAAGTACATGGATAAGTAATGCAAAGTCACGAGATTGAAGATTCAGAGTAACAAAAAAATTTGGGAAAAGTATACACCAAAGAGCTCAGTACTGACCTTCTGCACAATTCTGAAATGGATGATTCTTTGCCAAGGAGAATGATCCTTGGACTGAAAAGAACTAAACAAATTTGGCTTATGAGGATACAAGTAAGGAGATACTAAGTCCACCCAACTGCTCTTATAAGCTCAAGTCATTAGCTTGAGCTCGGCTCCCTCCGAGGGCTGGGAGATGTGATAGCTCAGCCTTTTGTTAATGATCTGAATTGACTCCCTGGAGGGAGGCTCCACACCAGTGGTTCCTAACACCAGTGGATTTGTGTCAACTCCATCATGCTCACTCTCTCGCTTATCTTCAACCTCTCCCTGTCTTCTGCCTGCTTCTCTACTGCCTGTCAACACGCCCATCCTCAGAAAACACTTCATCCGTCCATCTCCACTGTCATCCTATAGCTCTCCTACCTGTTGTGGCTAAAATCTTGAGAAGGCTGTCTACACTAGATGCGTCCGCCCCCCCCCCCCCCACTGTCTTCTTATCTCTCTACTGTCTGGTTTCCAACCTCATCATTCCACCAAAACTGCCCTCTCAGAAATTACCACTGACCCCCTAATTACCAAATCCAGGGGTCTTTTCTCAATCCTCATCCTTCTTGACCTCTCGGTAGCCTCTGACACCATCAATCACCCTCTACTCCTTGATACTCTCTTCTTTCTTACACAACTCCCTCCTAGTTCTCCTCAATTCAATTCGATAAATATTTTTGAAATGCCTACTCTGTGCAAGACACTGTGCTAAGCACTGGGGACTCAAATAAGAAAAAGAGAGACAGTCCCTGCCTTTAAGGAACTTATAATCTAGTGGGGGAAAATAACGCACAAAAAGAAACTGAAAAAGGGGAAGGCACCAGGGTATACCTGGCACGGGGGCAAGATGTGCTATAGTTGAGCTGCTGATGGAGAATGAAGTGACCTGAAATGTTGTGAAAGTTTAATTTACTGCTTCACTCTCCATCCCTCCAATCAGAGGGGAGAGGCCACTGAATCTGGAGGGTGATGAGATTTCAGGTAATCACCTTATCCTGAGGGGGAGGCAGGATGTTTACCAAGCAGAGCTGCTGACCACTCCCTTTCAGTCTACTTTTCTGGACCTTTGGGTCACATTTGCTAATTGTGGGTGTCCCACAGAGCTCTGTCCTGGACCCTCTTCTGTCCTCCCTCTTTACTACTTCACTTGTTGATCTCATTAGTTCCCATGGATATAATTACTATCTCTATGCTAATGATTCTCAGATCTAGTCATCCAGTCTTAACTTATCTGCTGACCTCTGGTCTCATTATCTCCAAATTGCATTTCAGACATTCCAAACTGGACGTCTGGTCTACGTCTTAAACTCAACATGTCCAAAATGGAACTCATTATCTTTCCCCCTAAACCCTCTCTTCTTTGCCCCATTCCTTTCCCATTGCTATAGAGGATAATGCCATCCTCCCAGTCCCCCAGGCTTGCCTCCTCATTATCTCTCAAACCTGCCTTTCCCCCCATATCTGTTGGCAAGGCCTGTTGATCTCACCTGGGAAACATCTCTCAGGTACGCTCCCTTCTCTCCTCTGACACTGCCCCTACCCTGGTGCAAGCTCTCATCTCCATGCCTGGACTATTATAATAGTAGCTGGTGGGTCTGCCTACCTCAGGTCTCTCTTCACTCTGGTCCATCCTCTAATCAGTTGTTAAAGTTATAAAGTGCACATCTGACTGTGTCACCCCGCCTCCTCCCCTTCAATAAACTCCAGTGGCTCCCTGTTCTTGCTAACCGTGGTTTCAATGGTGTGTGGAGTTCCCAATGAGGAGCTTCATCTCACAACTGCGGCCAGCTTCTCTGCTATGTCTAATCAGACAGAGAGTTGCCAGGGACTGAAAGACTAGACTTGAACCCAGGGCCTCCTAGCTTTCTGGTCAGCTCTCTACCCACTAGACCACACTGCCTCTTGGTATAATCCAGTAGTGTTTCTTATAGAATATAGTTTCAGGATGGACTTGGTCACTACCTGGGCACCTCCAGATTATTGCAGACTAGTTCTGTTACACTTCAGATGTGAAACCTTGGCTTTCTTTCCCTTGGGCAGCTCAGAAAACTTGGGCTCAAAAGAATAAACTTCAGAAATACAGGATGAGGAAGTGTGGTTACACACTTTCTTGTGAAAAAGATCTGGAGGGCTTAGTGGACTGCAAACTCAATTTAAGAGAACACTGTGACTTGATTAGAAAAGCCCAAGGGATCTTAGGCTGCCCAAAGAGAGGTATGAGATCAGAGGAAAGGCCTGTATTGGTCCCTGGTCAGATCACATCTAGAGCTCTGGGTGCCCTGTTTTGGGAAGAAAAAGAATAAAATGGATTAAATCCAAAAGAGGACAACCATAGTGATGAACAGACTTGAGACCATTGTATTTGAGCATGGGTTAAAAATATAGAATATTTAACTTGGACAGGTTGTATTATATTAAATACTTAAATAGTTACAGGGGCCATTATAACCACTTTCAAGTATTTGAAAGGTCGTCCTGTGGAAATAGTCTAAAATTGTTCAGCCTCACAAAGCAGAGCTAGGAATGATTGGTGGAAGATACAGAAAGAGAGATTTTTCCTCAATGCAGGGGGAAAAAACCTCACCAATTATCCCAAAGTGGAGCAGGCCATTTTGTAGGTAATAACTTCCCTATCACTAGAGGTCTTGAAGTAAAGGATGGTATTCACCCGTCAAGGTTGATGGAGAGAGGATTCTTCTGGGCACGTCCTCTGAGGCCCCTCCAATGAAGATCCCAGAGGAGCACGTGAAGAATCCTATTCTGCTATTGCTGTAGGAATATCTGTTTGCCAATGGATACTAATACCTCTCCTGAAGGCATTGTGGGATTGTCAAAAGAAAAATGCGCTGGTTGTTAGGAAACCACGGTTCTAACCTTCACCTTTTAGAAGCTGGTCAGTCCCTTCTCTTCTCCCTGGGTAGATGCCCTTCACATCTCTTCCTTCAGGCTACATTTAGAAGGCCTTGAGGGGGGAGTTTTGGACCCTGATACATCCATCCCTAAGAAGTTGTTTAGAATATTACCCTACACATAAGGTTACTATATGCATATAAGGTTTTTTTTTTTAATGCCTTAGTAATATTTACAACTGTGTATTTTATTTGGCAGTTTTGGAAAAACACATTTTTTTCCTCACAATTATTTACAGTATCTAAATGCTTCTACATACTAGAATTTGATCTCAGCATTTTGAGGGGGAAAATAAGAAAAAATATATTGGCTTTCATAGAGCTTCATAGAACATGTACAAATATGGTTATTTCTCTCTCAGTTAACTGTAGTCACATACCTGAAGGCTCATCTTATTATTGAACCTGGGCATGTGATTTTGTTATAAAACATCAGATTAATAGATATTTACTTATTTACATAGCTTATGAAGTATGCTAACTTAGCTAAAATAGATTTTTTAAAGTGATTATTTTTCTAGAAATAAATGTTTTTTATTTCCTCTCTTTCGTGATTCCGAAGTTCATGGCACCAGAAGGAGACAGGCTCCAATTTTCTTTTTTTCATTTTTTTTTTCACTGTTGTGACTCACCGATGTGATATGATAGTTGGGAAGCTAAAGTGCTGTTGGGTGGCAGTTAGAGAGGCAGCACTCCTAGGCCTCAGGAGGGGCTGCTGGTTTTGCTGTTCTTTGCACTGCTCAGGCCACATCTAGAATATGGGGCTCAGTTAGCATGCTGCCATGACCCTTGACGGGCTGGAGAGCTTCCAGGGAGGGCAGCCAGGTTGGTGAAGGACCTTGAGTCCACGTAGTGTGAGGACTGATTTTGAAAGAAGGGGGGATGGTTAGCCTGAAGAATAGGAGATAGTGGGAATGTGAGGGTGGTCTTCAAGTATTTAAAGGGCTGTCGTGGAGAAGAAGTAGTAGCCTTAGTCTACTTGGGCGCTGAGGGCTGAACCGGACAGGAGCAAA